ATTTTCGGAAAATTTCTGAAAATTTTTGGAAAATTTTGGAAAAATTTCTGCAAATTTCTGAAAATTTTTGCAAAGTTTTGGAAAATTTTGGAAAAATTTCGGAAATTTTTGGAAAATTTTCTGAAAAATTTTGGAAAAATTTCAGAAATTTTTTGAAAAATTTCTGAAAATTTTTGGAAAATTTTGGAAAAAATTCCTGAAAATTTTGGGAAATTTTTGGAAAATTTTTGAGAATTTTCTGAAAATTTTCGGAAAATTTGGGAAAATTTTTGGAAAATTTTTGAAAAAATTCCGGAAATTTTTGGAAGGTGGTCACAGATTGTTATGCAATAAGTATGTGGATGACACGCCATTAATGTAAGACGTCTGGTGCCCATCTGGGTAACCAACATTTTCGTTGTTCTTCTGAGGAAGACCAATTCATTTGTATGTTTTTTACCAGTATGCTTTATAAGGAATAAATTAATTAAGACATGTTATGGTTTCACCCTTCTTTCCCCTTATCGATCTGGTCAATGGAAAACCTAACCCAATGCCTAGTCCACTCTCCCCGCTACCTAACGAGTGACATACTGTCCAGAGGGGGTCTGGTGGCAGCGACCCTTAGAAATTATGATTAGATTAAAGTATTCCCCCTTAGGATTAGTGACCATAGGCTGGCAGTATACTCTCAGACTTGAAATTTGGTGGGATTAATTTCAGTAATTAAGTACATCCAGAAAAACACCACCCAATCACTGAGAAACCAATAGTTGGCGAGTACTGAAATAAGCATTGAGAAAAATTTCATTAAAATCTTCCAAGCATGATTATGATAACTAATTATTCCGCAATCGAACTGTCGATGATAGGATCGGAATCAGCATGTTCAAGAGTACCTATACTGTGATTTTGAACAAAATCGCGTATATCGAGTTTTGTCTCGACCCTGGAAAAAACGAGTAAGGGGGAACCCATACGAGTTTTTTCACCCAAATATGATTTTCTCTGAGACTTGAAATTTGGTGGGATTAATTTCTGTAATTAAGTGCATCCAGAAAAATATAACAACACCACCCAATCACCTGAGAAACCAATAGTTGGCGAGTACTGAAATAAGCATTGAGAAAAATTTCATTAAAATATTCCAAGCATCATTACGACCACTAATTATTCCGCAATCGAACTGTCGATGATAGGATCGGAATCAGCATGCTCAGGAGTAACTATACTGTGATTTTGAACAAAATCGCGTATATCGCGTTTTGTCTCGTCCCCGGAAAAAACGCTTATGTAGTAATGTCGCAAACTCCACCATTTAGTTCGACTTATTGTCCTAAAAATGAAAGGAAATCTGGAGATGCCTAAGTAAGGTTTAGTGCAGAAGCTGTGGCCAATACAACAACTACACCCTAAGTTAACGAGCTGCATGACCCAATGTCAAGGAATAGTCCGAGAAGACCGAACAACTCGCCAACTGCACTGGCTAACCATTACCCTGGAATGTGATCTGCAAATCGATTAACATCATGTTCCCAATTACTGCTGCGGTAGACAGAGGCAATTGGCGTAAGAAACTTGCCCACAGTTTCACCAGGCCCGAGGATCGAACTCGGGTCTGCTCGCCTGCGAGACGAGAATTCTGACCATTACTCCACAGGTCGTAAAACACACACACACACACTGTAAATAATTATCATTGGGTCAAAAACGTAAAATTAATAAACATTTCCCTGTGCGCCAGCAAGATTTATGTTATGCTTATTTTTCAACTCTTATTGTAAATTCTGGTAGATAAACTGAACTTTCTTCATAATTTTTTTATTCAGTTACATGCACATACAGTGGTCCCTTGGTTAACGAGCACAATTCGTTCCAGAAGGTTGCTCGTTAACCGAAACCATTGTGTTAATGGGTTTTTGGGTAATTGGTTCCAGCTCACGAAAAATTGCATAAAGTCAACAAAAAAGGTAGTAAAGTACACTTACTTTGAGGTGTGTATGTAGAAGGCTCCTGGATGATGATGATGATGATGATGTGAATTTGAAGTGGGAGGTGGAGGAGGAGAAGGGAGAAGAGAAGGAAGTGGAGGTGGAGGAGAAGCATTTTACTGCTTCTTGGAAGGTGAGTCACCTTCCATGAAAATGTCAGGACCCTCTGGACTGACAAATTCTCCAGCAGGAACATCCTCTCTCCTTCTTGAAGTGGAAGGCTGAGGGCTAGCATCTGTTTCCTGCTGCCTTTTAGTGAAGAAACTGTCAATTTTGGTTTGTGGGGCATCTCTACTCCTCATCATTAACTGATGTTTGAAGAAGGAGACCACTGTGTCCTCAACATTACACAAGGCAAGTTCTGTTTTTTCCACATTAGGGTGCCTTGAAGCCAGTTTCCTGAACTTCTCCCAGTAATGAATAACATCTTTCAAATCTGAAGTTGAAATATGGTCATCACTTTCCTTTTCCTCTTCACCACTGTCAGCCTCTAACATCTCATCTAGTTGCTGCAAGTCTTCAGGAGTAAGTTCCTGCTCATGAGACATCACAAGCTCTTCTACATCATCCTCCTCCACTTCAAGGCCCAATGACTGACCAATGGACACAATCTCCTGGTCCAACTCTGTTTCTTCCTCAAATCCCTCAAAATCATAGACTACTGATGGCCACAGTGCTTTCCATGAAGAATTGAGGGATCTAGTGGAGACTTCTTGCCATGAGGACACAATCAATTTTGCAGCCTCCAGGATGTTAAATTGTGTCTTCCAGAACTGTGCCAGTGTTAGTTCAGGATCAGTAGAAGATACTTGATGACACCTCCTGAACATTTTCTTCATGTACAGCTTCTTAAAGTTGCTGATCACATCCTGGTCCATTGGCTGTATGATTGATGTAGTGTTGAGAGGCAAAAACAACACTTTGACAAGGTCAAATTGAGACTCCAAAGTGCTGGCAAGTTGAGGGTCATGACCAGGGGCATTATCCATAAGGAGAAGAGCCTTTAAAGGAAGTTCATTGGTGGTTAAGTAGCGCTTCACAGAAGGGCAGAACACCTCAAAAGCCCATTCATTAAAGAGCTGTCTTGTCACCCATGCCTTACGGTTGGACTTCCAATAAACTCCAAGCCGTCCTCTTACCACTTTTTGTTGCTTGAACACCCTGGGGTTCTCAGAGTGGTAGACAAGCATAGGCTTCAGTCGGAAATCCCCTGAAGCATTGGCACCAAGCAATAGAGTGAGATGGTCTTTCATGGGTTTATGCCCAGGTAAAGAGGCTTCATCTCTGGTGATGAATGTCCTTTTGGGCATCTTTTTCCAGAACAGCCCAGTTTCGTCCACATTGAACACTTGCTGTGGAAGATAATTTTCTTCATCCACCAGTTCTTTAAATTCCACTAAAATTTTTGGTGCCCCTTCCTTATCAGCACTAGCAGCCAACACTAAAAATGTCACTTTTTTTCCTTAAATTTTTCGAACCAGCCCTTGCTGGCCCTAAACTCTTCAAACTCTGTGCCTGAAAAACCAGGTTGATCTGCCTTTAAATGTTCGTAAATCTCCCTGGCTCTTTCACAAATAAATTCGGTCGAAACTGAATCACCTTTAATCTGTTTTTCCCTAATCCAAATTAGAAGTAACCTCTCTGTTTCTGCTATTAGGGATCTACCTTTAAACACTCTGGTAGATTTGTCTCTCACTTTCACTTCCTTGAATTTGTCTTTCTGTGAAAGAATTGTCGACACAGTTGATGTCGACATGCCATATTCTTTGCTAAGCACATTTGTTCTAATGCCTTCTTCATGTTTCTTAATAATTTCCTGTTTAACCTGGATTGAAATCGCCTTTCTAGATTTCTTTAAATAGTAAGGAATTTAAGCCCTAGAACCGATTACTGTATTGGCGGACTAATACGACAGCTAGTGTGTAAGAGAAAACATGTTGAGGGGCGCTCGTAAGGAATTCGTTAATCGAGGGATTGAACTGAAGTTAAGAATCTTATGGAAGGTAATTCATTAACCGAAATTTCGTTAACTGAGGCGCTCATTAACCGAGGGATCACTGTATGGTCCTACATACATAATGTGCAAAAAAAATAATACAGGACAATAATAATTATCCTTAGGTCATACACATAAAATTAATAAACATTTCTTTGTGTGCCACCGGGAGGGGGAGAATTCTCAGTTGGGCTGGGTTGAAGGAGGCCATATGTGACTCGATCAGCCTCTGCAAATCTCTGCGGTGTTAAACTTTCGAGAATTGATTTAATAGACACCTCAGTGGCTCCAAAATATCATGTTTAAGTGAATTTGGTAGATGTACACTATGTGTATGAGTGAGCTACTTTAGAGCTGTAGGATGGCTTTGAAATTTAGGAGTGTTTTTGGTAAGGTGGGGGGGGGGGGGTACTTTTTGGGGTCCACATGATGCATCCCGTATCTCCCCATGTTATAAAGGGTTCACTCTACACAGTGTTTTCTGGGATGCAACCCCCCTGCATTAAGTGTATGTGATTTCCATCCAAGGTGAGGCTACCAGTAGTTCTGTATTTCCATATTACCCACTAGTATACTGTATTGTAAAAACCCAACTGGCAAACAAACATCAAGAATTTAGGATAAAACACCTATTTTTACCTATTCCTGTTTGTCAGGCCTATGAAAGATGCCCTTGGTTGATTTATTTATTGTATTCTATGGTGACCCAGACAAGTTAAGCTCAAGTAAAGACACATTGCCATAGTGATCCCTAACATTCCCATGGTACTCTTGATCTACTGTAGTTGCTACTTTCCAAAGTACAAAAGAAGAGTGGAAGACTAAACCACCTGCTCAGTTCTCATCCATAAAAGGGGATTTCAGGATTAATTTTACTTATACGATCATGAAGTTATGCAGATGACCTATGATTACAGAAGCCAAATAAATCACAGGAAGAGGAGAAAATAAGGTGCTAACTGAGACCAGGCAAGGCTCTGGGCATGCACATGTACTACAGGATTCCACTCTGTTGTAAAATACCAGTGACTTACACTACTGGCTTCCATCCCCACTGTGAGTCCAATATGGGTTGATTTACCACACCCATAAGTAAGGGAATACTTGGGCCACAGATGTCTACATCCAAGAGTCCAACACGGTGGCCATCACTTGCTAATATCTGAGACATCATTGCTGCTATGCTAGATTTACCTGTAAAAATAGAGAATCTTCCTTCAGGAAATCTTTCTAATTACATCAAATTTTCTTCACTCTAGCTAGTTTGAAGTTATTCTTTATGGATGAATGTACAAAAATGTGAAGGACACTTCTGTTTACCAAAGAAAGAACATTTTACAGCTAAAGTACAGTAATATCTCCGTCAGCCGGAATCCTTCAAACCCGGAACTCTCTGATGGCCAGAATTGAATTTTTCTCGGAAAATCATTCCCAAAGCTAGAATTTTCCGGAAAATTCCTGCTTAGGGAATAATTTTCTGAGGAGCACATTTTCCGGGAATTCCGAGAAAATTTTCCATTACCCGGAAAATTCCGAGGATGGGGGATTTTTTGTTCAACCTCAGAATGCGACGCTTAGCTTTTAACCTAGGTATGTTAATGCCTAGCAATAACTCGCCAGGCCAACATACAGGCAATTAAAACATCTAATAATTACTTAATAAGTAATATTAGGAGGACACGTTGCTACCTGGCATTTAATTGCAATTGTCGAAACCCCTCCTTCACCCCCCACCACACGCACTGCCACCGTCATCTCTTGCCTGGCGATTCAGCTGTAAATACACACGAAGGAGAGTTCTGCGAATTTGTGTTGTAATTGCTGAAATACTAAGCTCCCAGAGGCTTTTATATACGGTATTTGTACAGGTACTTATTAGCACAGTGATGAAGTACGTAGAGTGTCTTTTATTTTATGTCTCTCAATTATTGTATTTGGGACAATTTCTTATATGATCTCTGGTCAGCATCATGGCGACCACAACACGTCTTCTTTGTGAAGTCGTTTAGATCGTTGTGACTATCCCTTGCCTTTAAGTAACTCAGGGAATGTCCCTGCGCCCTCCCGGGCTCATCTTCACTGAAAGGGAATATGTGGTTATATCTATTTATTTATACATATATATGTATACTGTTTACGATTTTCTTTGTCCCAATTATTCATGTGCTAGTATGAATGCCATGACTGTCTCTCTTCCTACTCTTATGTTCATTCACAAAAAACCTTTGGGCTTCTGCCCTCGGTTTTCTAATTGCTATCAGCATAAAGGACAGAGTTGAGTTTTCTCTTCATAACTTTATTATATTGATGTCCTCAGTAGCGGGTTCAGCCTTTCCAGGCGAACTTTAGCGAGGCTGCTAGACTTAGCGTTCCTTCCGGAATGTTGACCTTCCGGTCATCCTAGCAATCTAGAGTTATGTTGAAATGGACTTTACATTCTTATATGGGTTATATGAGAACAATTCAGGGTGGATTTTTCAACCCAATAAGTATTGCTAGAGTAATAGTGAACGCTGTTGCCAATAGAGCGCTATGTTAGCGATTCAGCACTGTCAACCCTGCCGGGTGATAGTGCGCACGTAGAAATTTTTGCTTAAGTTATGACTTGGGGGATAATGTTTGTGCCCCTGATTGGCGACAAATAGAGATCTTGATGATCCCTCTTAATAAAATTTTCTAAATGAAATTATTTTATGTAAAAAAAAAAATTCATCGAGCTAAGGGATACTTGAGATAAGAGTCGGGAGAGAGATGCATCATGGCGAGTTAATTGTTTATAATTGTAAAACGAGATCTTAATGAATTAATTTACTAATAATATGACAATTTTGAGTCATATTGATTAAGTTTGGGAGAAAATGTTTTCTCCCTTATATTTTTATAATGATATAATGTGACTCATCGTGTTCCTCCTAGTTTAGATGAGTGATGTGCAACTGGAGGACGAAGGACAGGAGTCCGGGCCTATGTATGATGGAGGGGACTATGGAACTGTCCCTGAGGAGCTAGTACAAGTATTGAGTGGTGAGCTACAAGGACTGGAAAGTTCAGCTCATACACTACATACAAGGAAATGTCTGTCAGTAGAGAATGTGAATTTAATAGTAGTAGTTTCACCCAAGACCCAAGGGGGCCATACTACATGTAATTATAAAAAATGTAGAGCCACTTGGATTACTAAGATAGATCCTCATGTGGCCTGCATAATTCATGGCAGCTGTGTCTCAAATAACCTATTTTCACCAATGGATTGTTCAGTTTGTTATGATCAAATTTTTCAATTTCATCAAGCTACAGGTGATAAGAAAGAATTATTGCAGATCCAAATTAAAAATAGGTGGAATAAGGCCTTGAAGAGTAAATTTTTAAATGTAAAACAATGGAAAGATCCCAAGTTGGCAGAAAGTTTAGGTTTATTGGTGTTAGGTAAGAGACTTAATCCCCACTTAGACAAGCCAGCTTCTGCTATAAAAAAAAAAAAAAAAAATTAAGTTATTGGACCTTCCAGACAATGGGGCAGGAGGAAGTCTACAAAACCTCTATCTACTCAGTCTGATTTCAGTGGATTCCAGGATCAGGACGATAGGCTGGTTCTAATCATAGTATTCAGTCTCTTGAGCAGGAAGAACCTGTTGAGACTGACTTCATCCTATCCACATTTTGGCAACGACTTCCACCTGGGGCAAGAGTGTTGGTTGCTATGAGTGGAAACAGGCTGCTGTCAACTGCCACGCAGCTGATGGATAACATTGAGTGTAAGGATGATCCCAACAGGCCTTGGGTAACATTGATAAGATCGAAGTCTTCTTTGTTTTCGACCACATGAATCTGTGGATTCCTTATTCAAGGTATTTTACGAAAATGTTTCTAAACTTCCTGATATCTCAGCACTTACAAAGAGACAAGAAGGACAAGCAACTGTGGGTCATCATTCATTGTTTTTGGAAGGTGATACAGGTTGTACCTCATTCGTATTCTGGGCAACATAGAGGACACTATGCTCTTTCCACGCTAACCTGACCCATAGGCCATGCCCCTCTTCTATACTAATAGCTGATTGGTTCATAGAAAATTCAAACTAAATGTGTTCACAATTGGTAAGCAGATCTGTTCTTACCTAAAATAATGTTAAATATTTGGACAATCAAAATGCAAATCATTTCAAGGCACTAGCATTTCAGAGAGAATCTTCAAAATTTATAAATATTTATTATAAAAGGTCGATTTAAATATGCGTTTATATACATGCAGTCTGGGGGGGGGGGAGGTAAGACTCCCAGGGGAACCAATCGGCTATTTGTAGCTATAGACAAGGGGCGTGGCTTATGGACCAGGTTAGCGTGGAAATACTATAGCTACATCACGTTAACCATATTCAGAGTTCAAAAACAGATAAGCATGCCCAAGCACCAAAAACAGGTACACACACACACAGTCTTCAGATACATCAAACTCAGAAATAGAGGCACACTGAACCCTGGAGTTATCTCCCCTGAACCCCACTCCGGCTCACTGCCAAAACCAAGGACCTCTAAGCACACAATTTTTAAGCCCTGTCCCGGCCACCATGGAGCAAAACAAGGTAAATAACCATATAATTTCATATTTTTTTAACTTTTAAACTAGTGTGAGTAAAAAAACATATTATTTTTATCCCTTTCCCTTGCATACCAGATACAGTACTGTATACTTTTAAGTCCTGCCAGAGTGACTGCTTTCTACTGTCGTCATCAAACTCATGGGCAGGTGGCACAGACTGATCTTCAAACCAAACTCTTAGAAGTCTTCTATATACTGTACTCCCTCACTGAGTCTCTTCCCTTAGTAATTTTTGTAACACTAGATGGAAATAAAGGGTGATCAAGTACCAGTATACAGACTATGAAAAAATAATACAGTAATACCCCGATTTACGCGGTCAATTGAACCCGCGGAGTAGCGCGTAAAACGAGAAACGCGTAAATGGAATAACAGAACATATGGGATCAATTAAAATAGAGACTGGGCAGACTCCCAAACTCCACTTTTTCCGACACAATACCGACATAATACCTACGTTCTAGTAAAAATAACATCTTAATTTTATGATGGTATGCACACACATTTAATATTTTAAGAGAAATACAGTCCCCATGTTAATGTCCATTCAAATAATGGACTCAACTTCCCCCCACCCCCCTCTTCCCACGCTCACTGGCTCCTTCCTCTCTGAGAAATGTTTGGGTGAAAACACTAGATTTTAAGGTACAGTGAACCCTCACTTTACACGGTCAATTGAACCCACGGAGGCCCGCGTAAAGTGAACAACATAGCATATGGGATTAAATGAAATAGAGACAAGCTGACCCCCAAACTCCACTTTTTCCGACACAATACCTGTTCTAGTAAAAATAACAACTTAATTTTATGATGGTACATGCACACAATTAATACTTAAGAGAAATAGAGAAATACAGTCGCCAAGTTAATGTCCATTCAAATAATGGACTCAACTCCCTCCCCCTTTTCTCACACTTGCTGGCTCTTTCCTCTCTGAGAAATGTTTGGGGGAAAACCACTAGATTTTAAGGTATAGAAATAAATAATACCTCAGACTAAAGCTAGGATAATATAATTGACATTGCTGGATTCCTTGTAAGACCAGGAATATTTTGAATATAAATGTCATATATTTTGCACAAAAGATAACATATTTACTCAGAGTAAACAAAATACTTACATTAGATCTAAAATTTGTATGTCTAATGCAAAATCTATGATGTTTATATTCAAAATGATCATCAAATTGTAAGAATTCCAGCAATGTAAATTATATTCTGGCTGGGTAATTTGTATGAATTTTATGAGCTAAAACAAATATCTTCAGTTAATAAAAAAAAATAAATATTCTTCACGACACTATCTGTCAATCAAAACACCCCACCTTGCCTCCCCCCCTCTTCCAACCTCGCCAGATGGTCGGTCAGTCCCTCCCTCCCTCCCATCCCCACCAACCCTCCCTACCAGAGAAATGTTTGGGAGAAACCAGAATATTTACCTTTTTAGTAATAAATAATAACTCAGACTAAAGTTAGGATAATATAATTGACATTGCTGGATTCCTTGTAAGACCCGGAATATTTTGAATATAAATGTCATATATTTTGCACAAAAGATAACATATTTGCTCTGAGTAAACAAAATACTTAAAGTAGATCTAAAATTTGTATGTCTAATGCAAAATCTATGATGTTTATATTCAAAATGATCATCAAATTGTAAGAATTTCAGCAATGTAAATTATATTCTGGCCCGGTAATTTGTATGAATTTTATGAGCTAAAACAAATACCTTCAATGAATAAACAAAATATACTTACCGAAATACTATCTGTCAATCAAAATACCCCACCTCCCCCCCTCTTCCCACCTGCTCCCTGGGTCCCTCCCTCCCTCCCTCCCTACCCCTCACCCCCACCTTCCCTCCATACCAGAGAAATGATTGGGTTATAACAGTATATTTACATTTATAGTAATAAATAATACCTCAGACTAAAGTTAGGATAATATAATTGACATTGCCGGATTCCTTGCAAGACCAGGAATATTTTGAATATACACGTCATATATTTTGCACAAAAGATAACATATTTGCTCTGAGTAAACAAAATACTTGCAGTAGATCTAAAATTTGTATGTCTAATGCAAAATCTATGATGCTTATATTCAAAATGATCATCAAATTGTAAGAATTCCAGCAATGTAAATTATATTCTGGCCGGATAATTTGTATGAATTTTATGAGTTAAATAAAAAAATTATACTTCACCCGCCTATATGAGTAGATGCACCGCGTAAAGTGGGAATTCCGGTTCTGGCAGGGTACCGCGTAAATGTAGAAACGCGTAAAGTGAAACCGCGTAAAGCGAGGGTTCACTGTATAGTAATAAATAATACCTCAGAGTACAGTTAGGATAATATAATTGACATTGCTGGATTCCTTGCAAGGCCAGGAATATTTTGAATAGAAACATCATATATTTTGCACAAAAGATAAAATTTTGGCTTTGTAATCAAAATTCTTAAATTAGATCTAAAATTTGTATGTCTAATGTAAATTCCATGATGTTTATATTTAAAATAATCAAAATCTTATAAGAATTCCAGCAATGTAAATTATATTCTGGCCGGGTAATCTGTATGAATTTTATGAGCTAAAACAAATATCTTCAGAAAATAAACAAATTATTATTCACCCAGATACTATCTGTCAATCAAAATACCCCACCTACGCTCCCCCCCCCTCCTTCCCCCCCTACCAGAGAAATGTTTTGGAGAAAACAGTATATTTAAATTTTTAATAATAAATAAAACCTCAGACTAAAGTTAGGATAATATAATTGACATTTCTGGATTCCTTGCAGGTCAGGGAATATTTCGAATATAAACTTCATATATTTTGCACAAAAGATAAAATATTTGCTTATTTTCATGATCTCCTTAAATTACATCTAAAATCTGTATGTCCAATGCAAATGTTAAGATGTTTATATTTAAAATGATCACCATCTTGTAAGGATTCCAGCAATATAAATTATATATTTTATGAGCTAAAAACATATATATACATCTTCAGTAAATAAACAAATTATACTTCACCCGCGTAAATGAGTAAATTCACTGAATAAATCGGGCATCCCGGTTCTGGCAAGGTACCGGGTAAATGACCAAACGCGTAAACGAGAACCGCGTAAATCGAGGTATTACTGTACAGTACTGTACCTGTTTAATTCTTATAAAGAAAAAGTATTGATGTCTTGTATGTAAAAAGATATACCACAAGGCAATAAAATATTCTGATGACACAAGTTTATGAAAATATTCTACCACTTGTTTTCCATTTTGTTATAAAATAACTTTATTACACTTATATCAAGAAGGAAATACTGTACAGAGGTTTCCCTCGAGATATGAACATTCGTGATACGATAATTCGTTTATACAAATTTCCTAAATTGACACCACTATTTTGAAAAACGAAAGCTTCCCCCGATAATGCGAATTTGGATCCTGGCAAAAATTCAAATTTCATATGCCGGGAGTCAGCTGGCGCGGCCATCTTGGGGAAAGATGCACAGAGACATACGAGGTGTGATCCAAAAGTTCCCGGACTGGCTTCAAAAAATCTTTATTTTTCAAGATATTACAGTGAAACTTTAATCACCCAGAAAATATTCTTCAGAGGCCTCAATGCAGTGCTGAATCCCTTCCTCCCACTTCTGGAAGCAGATCTGGAAGTCCTTGTTGGTGAGGCTGGAGAACACCTTCTGCCATGCGTCCTGGATCTCCATTCTGTCCATGATCTTCTTTCCCTTGAGGTTCAACTTGATCTTTGGAAACGGCCAGAAGTCACAGGGAGCCAGATCTGGAGAGTATGGAGGATGAGAGGCCACTGGGATGCCATGCTTTGTCAGAAAATCATTCACAGTGAGGGCGGTGTGCGCGGGTGCGTTGTCCTGGTGAAGAGCCAATTGCCAGTCGTCAGTCAAAATCTGGTTAACATTTCCATATGAAAGGTCCAACCTCTCGGCAATCTCGCGGGTGGTCCCCTTACGCTCTTCATGGACAAGCTGGTAATTTTTCTGGACATTTTCATCATTTCTCTTGGTGGAAGGTCGCCCAAAACAAAGCTCATTTTCAAAGGAAGTACACCCTTCTTTGAAGTGCTTGTGCCCCTGAAAACTTGAGCCCTGGACATTGCTTCATCTTTGTAGACTTCCTTGGTCATTTCATGGGTTTCTGCACCAATTTTTCCAAGTCTGAAGCAAAATCTGATGGCACAGCATTGCTCGATACTTCCCTCCATGTTGAGGGTTGAGTGACGACTGACTTGACTTAGCAGATGGGCTGGTACACACACTCACACAAAGCTGCACTATGACCGGTTGGTGACACAAATTCCCGCCAAATCGACGCAGTAAACAACTTATACCCAAGGTGAGAAACTGCTGATGATTCGAATTCGATATCTGCTAAGAGAAGTTTTATGAAGCCAGTTCAGGAACTTTTGGATCACACCTTGTATTCTCACTACCTGATCATATACCTCCTCGTCCTCCCTCCAACATTTCCTACAAGCCCATATCCTTCCATTCATTGTGTGTGTGAAGTGATTTCTCTTTACCTGAAGAAACCATGAATGGCAGTGACAGCCCTACCAAGATTGGGAAAGATCTTGGTCTGGCTGCTTCTACTCTGGCTACAATTCACAAGCATGCAGACAGCAGTGATGAGGTGGGCAAACCCTCCTTATCGTGCCGAGTAAGGCCCTTACTCAGCCCACCCTTGCTCACCCCTTTGTGGTGGTGAGCCCAGACTGCCCTCGCATAAGGTAATGTACCAAAGTTTAACTGTATTTTCATGTGTTGGGTAATAAATTAGAGTAGCTGTCTATTATTTCTTATTGGTTAGGTAGGCTTTGTTCTCGTTTGTGAACCGATTTCATGTTTTTGGGGGTATGATATTGGGATTGGGATATTTTTGTCATTGGGGAACCTAACCCTATTTTTTCTCATATGTTTATCTATTTGTGATACAAAAATTCACCTAACGAATGATTTTTTTAACCTAACCCATTCGTATATCGAGGAATACCTGTACAGTACTATAAAAGTACCTATTACATCAAAAACTGGTATTGTACTGAATAATGAAAACAGAAAAAAGTCAACAATACATACCAACACCTCCTTTTCCAGAGAGCACTAAAATCTTGTGCTTAATTGCTCTTAATCTTGTATCAATTACTTGCTGATCTGGGTCTGGCTTACTAACTGAAAAGGAAATCCTGTATAATACAGTAATGCTTAATATATCCAGGCATACTGTGCAATACTGTACCTGATGCACGCATTCTTTAAAAGTGCAACATTAAGTTAAACAATGTACTGTATTGTATAGTGAATACAAGTTTACCAAAGACTTAATGATATAAATAAGGGTAATTAGATGATTATAAGTTAAAACAATTATTTAAAGATAAAATTCTCTGTACTGTATATGTCAAGAGGGTAACAAATAGCATTAAGTTGGTTAAGGAATCTATATATAGAGGCTGGGATGGGAAGTTGAGTAGTTATTAAGACAAAGATGTAGTACTGCCTGCCTTTTCATCTAAGGTTGGATATCTAAATTATTGGTCCAATGACAGCTAGAGAGCTTTCTTCTTCTGTTTGTACAGCTCCTTGTAGCAGTTAATGTCATAGGTTATTAACTTGTTAACTGTAGAGGTGTGTTTTCTTGTTGGATCACTCACTGACTATGGCAGGTAAAACAAGAACTCTGGATATGTCAACAGCTCATTCACCAGGTTCAGAATGCCTTAAACATTTATTTGAACCTCTAAATTAATATATTTCCTTGTATTTTTTTACCAGAAGCACAAATACCACTTGCTGGGCATCTTACTCTCATTTTACAGAGTTTTGGTAAGGTTTTACTCAATGTAAACATACAAGATCAAATTGTTTATGGTGGTGATGTGTGAACTGGTGCTGAGAAGGGAAGTGCTACAGGATATCAGCTACCCAAAGCAGACCACTGCTATTGTGTGGTTTTTTATTACATATTTTCTTTAATTCATCACGAATGTACTCTACGTATAGCAAGGCAACTTATTGAGAGGTATATCTGTAACTTTGGTGGCTCCATAGGTCAGTTGGTAAATTGTTTCACAAAGGAGCATGTGAAGATAATCAAATGGCATGACAGTTAATGGAGTAGAGTATTTACGGAAAACAACTAAATGAAAAATATTTTCATACCTTGAGACAGACAGAGTTCTTTACCAGGACAACCCTCACATACCCTGGCTGTGCCAGCATCCCTCTGTAATAAGAAACATTTGTGTTATGAGATAATAAAGCCAAAAACCACATTAAAAAATATGCTTTCAATTTCCAAGACATCAAATTGGATCATACTGTATAAAGATTAGGAACCCCCACTTATTTCACGTGATGATTAAGCACCCTAATTCTAACGTAACATAATAGTATCTCATGCAAACTAGCCTACCCCCCCATTTAGTGATAGGGTGTTTAATCAATCATCAGGTGAAATAAGCAGGGGGATCGTAATCTTTATGAAATCCAACAAATCATACAACTATATTGTAGAGTAACTGCACTATGTTGTTAAAGTCATGCACTAAGTATTCCTACTGGCAGCCTAATCATGCTCAGAGAAGTATTGAGACATAAGTACAGTCTTTTTCATGTTAGCTGTCATCTAGAATAGCTGTGGGTAATCTAGGAGCAGCAACAAGTGAATGAATCACTTGTACTCTACCTTCCCCGACCAAGTGCTTATCTGTGATGGATTATTTATATTATACTATGTCAGGTGCAGTAGTGTACTAACATTATATGTATGCCTGGCAGGTTATAATATGCCTAAAAGGATAACTTACATAATCCCAATTTTTGGTGAGCAAATAACTCGTTCAGAAAAAAAAAATAGTGACATAGACATGTGGTATAGAGCCTCTACTGGAGCTGAAAATTTTGAAACATCTTATGATAAACAGATTACTGTGCAGTAGCAGACATTACAATACCGTATCTGGTGGGCATTCTTCAATTTCTACATCTTCTATATCACAAAGCTGGGTTGACATACTGTTGGATATACTGTAACTTGTTCCTGTGGAAATACAGTATTGTAAATAAATTGTCTTTGGGTCTTGGACCAGTGTCATTCATAAATCTTCTTTATATTTTCTTTGGTACACTAATAACAAATTGCATGACACAGAATACATCTTGCATCTATAATAACAATATTTCGGTTATCTAGTAATGTACTGTACCTGTATCACATTTTATAGCATTCAGAAAAATTTTATTTAAAAATTGATCCAAATTTATGTTTTAGCAGAACCCATAGTCAGGTGGCTCTTGTATTACATCCTGCATAATGGGGGACTGTGATGTACAGTACCTTCTGGCATCCTTATTTACAAGTCATGAAGTTTTAGTAATCAATTTAAGGTGTATCAAGAGCCCCTCCCTCCCTACTACAGTACATAGTCACCCTGAAAGTTTACCCCTGGGGGCTAGGAGGTCTTTTCAGCACTAAGCCTATCCAATAAATAAACTGCAGGTCAAGGATATATCGGCTACCTTTGAATTCCATGATCAGTAAGTCATTCATAATTCAGTTCCAGTTAACTATCTGAAATGGCTGGTTGTGAACTCTGCCTAGTAAATAGGATTTTAGGATCAAACCTATATTTCTAACTTGACAAGAGAGAAGAGGAGGCACTACAAAACCTCTTGAGGCTTAAACTGAAGTCAAACTTGTTTTATTGCTGTCTATTAAAACCCACAGATTTCACTTCCTATTTTAGTACTATACTGCACTACAATACAGTACAGTATACAGTTATACAGTGTTACCAGTAACCTGGAATGGTCAGCAAACAAGTGTAGTCAGTACAGGGGTATTCGAACCCCAATAATACATGTACAATATGTCTTTATTGAGATGAGTCAGGTAAAAAGCACCACCTCATTCACAAACAAGTTACTGTGCATATCACATCAGGTACAGTCGGCCAAGGATGCATCGACCCCCACCCTGGCTCTTGTATTCATAATTTTACATGGCAATACAGTACTTGGTTATTTAAGATCGTGATAATTTTCCAAATGTTTGTATATTTGCTTAAATAATGAAGGAATTATATTAATGAATTGGCAACTCAACTACAACCAGCGCTACTACAAGATTCTTAGCTCCAATTCCTTCATTATTTAAGCAAATATACGAACATTTGGAAACTTGTCATCATCTTAAATAACAATGAATAGTTTATTCTTAAAAAAAATTCTACCTTTGGATTGTTTAATATCAATTGATCCACCAATTACAATCCCCATTACATACAGCCTAGCTTTACCAAATACTGCCAGGTAAAATTGCCAGGACAAGAGCCAGGGTGGGGGCCGATGCATCTTTGGTGGACTGTACATAGTAAATAGATGAAGAATTCAACAATAAAGAGAAAAGAGAACCCATGAATTGCCCACTCTGCAACTAATAAACTCTAGTTCAAGCAAAGACCCCATAAAACCCATTGGAATTTTGAAGCTCTTAGGAAAAATTTGGAACATTTTACCTTTCCAACTTATGCTGTGGAAGTGAAAAGTATGTTTTGGATATGTCTGTTGGCAGTCAACTAAGATAGACTTGGGGTAACAGATTTATGGTCATTACAAGTACAGAACAGTAAATTATTTACTCTCATCAAGCATGGAAGGAACTCAACCACAAGGTCTTAATGTCTATCATTTTAAATACAGTATTTATATAAAATCAACTGTTTATCATATGAAATACAAACATTTGTCAGACTGTGCTTGAATTATTGTTTATAATTTGGTATCAATGTCAATTCTCAATTATCAGTACACTAGTTCAAAGAGATTTTGTTGGCCAGCTATTATGTACAAACCACAACAAGGAACTCCAATTTAAAAAAAAAAAAATCAATCACTTTCTGGGAGGCTCTACAAATAACAGTAGAAATGGTATAGAAATAGCCAAGGTGTTGAGTATGAAAATCTATATACCTTGTAGTATACTGTACCACTACCTTATTTACTTCACTGAATCCTCTATGCCACTTGTCAGTCAGTTTTCTGTTATACATGGACTTGTATACAGTGCAGTACTTGTACAGTACAAATACAGTGCCAAGTACAGTACACTAGTACAGTACATAAATATGTGTTTATCACTGGAGGGCTCCAGGCAATTACAGTACTGTATACCCAAACACTAACTTTTGAAATTTTAAATTGAAGCTTAAGTATTGTGCAAAAATGAAAAATTATGAATTTTGTCGCTAGAGACAATGTGGGTACATCACGCTCTATACAACCTGAGCCTTTTTTTTTTTTAATAATTTCACCACTTATCAGCTTACTAGCCATTAGAGTGGTTAGTCTGTACAATACTCTTTTACTTTGCTATGCCCTTTATTTTTCAGCGTTAATATTGGAAGAAACAAGAGCACCGTACCTTCATAAGACCTGCTGTGTTTGGTAAGGTCACACTGGATAGCACCCTTCTCACATCTGTTCTGGGCAGGGAATCAACCCAGAACACAATGGTGATAGATATAAGTACAGTATACACATTACTGGTATACCATGAAGCACAAGGAGGTATTGTGGTTGGTGCTGCACTCAACTGCCATCACTTCCCCAGTTGGTGTTAGATGCGTGCACTCAACTGCCATCACTTCCCCAGTTGTACAGTAAAGTTAGATGCGTACCTTTCAAGTGGGTGGATTGAAGGGAATGGAGCCACGATCTATCGAACAACCCTTAGGATGGGAGGTGAGTGCTGTATGCACTCAGTTGCTTCAAGATTTGTATTAACATTGATTTGGCTTTCCTATTAGGATAACAGTTTGATCTTAACTATTATCAGTGTCAAACGCCTGTATTATTAAACAACACCTTCCCTTGAAAAGGGTCGTTGTGTTTCAACACGAGTTTTAAACTAAATGAGTCCTGAGGGACACCGCAGTACAGTACTTAACGGGTGGCGTAGCGGTAAAATTAAGTAATTCCAACAAAATTCATTTGTAATATTGGAATTAGTTGATTTTACCGCCACGCCACCCGTTAAGTACTGTACTGCGGTGTCCCTCAGGACTCGTTTAGTTTAAAACTCGTGTTGAAACACAACGACCCTTTTCAAGGGAAGATGTTGTTTAATAATAAGGTACTGTATTTCAGGTGAGGTTAGGTTAGATTTTTTTTTTAATTAGTTTAACTTTAAAAACAATTTAAAATAAAATAATGTTAAATATTTAAGGTTAGTTTTTGGGGGATTCGATAATGTAATGTAAGTTTTTCACTTTTGAAGAATTTGCACAAAAAATTTCAGAAATTATTAAACCATAAAAAAATTATTAAGAAAACAAAATTAACCATAAAAGGCGAGGTGGGGTTCAATTACTGTATATAATTAACCAGTCATTTTTGAAGCTACAACACCAGACCCATTTACTCCAGATATAGTACGCTATATTCTAGGACATAATTCATTTTTTAGTAGCCACCTTAATAACAGGTTGAAAAACTTATATGGCATGAAAACAATATCTCAAAACTCTTACTAATTAGCCCCAAGCCAAGACAAAGGGCCCCAATGGAATCAAACATATGATATGCTTTGTTAGCTAGCCATCGTGGAATGGATTACTGTAGTTTACCATTGTTTGTATGGTAAATGGAAATAGTCCAAATTTTGTCTAGGAAAAAATCACAGGAAAAAAGTCGCATTTTATTTACATACCTTTAACAAGTTAGATTAGAGGTTGTGTAGGTGAGGTTGGTTATGTTAGGTTAAGCTAAGGTTGGGTTGAATTAGGTTTGTTAGAATGGATTTGTTAGGTTTAATTTTTTCCATTAAAAAAGATTATAGTTCCTGAATGTAATGATTTTTCAACATGTTCATAAATAAAAGCCTAACAAAATTGTGACTTTGCTTGTTCATTGTTTGTAATTTGCACTGTCTATATATATTGTATAATTATGTATACCTGTAATGCCTAAATACATGCTGAATCATGTAAACTTATATGATGATTTTACCGAATAATCAATCCATCTATTTATCTATCTATCAAGTATATTTGATTAATAAAGATTAACGACCCCCTGACGAGTTATTAGTTTTGGTGTTTTATTTTCTTACTGTATTTTCATCAGTGAGTACTGATGATGATCATTTCTTGTGCAAATGCTTTGTTTGGTAGATACTGTATTTAGGCGCCTAAGGTGCGCACTACTTTGTTGTTCTTGGCGGTAATGCAGCAGTGACTAATCATCCCCATATATAAACAGCCAATCATATTGACATACTTTGAAACACGCTGCTGCACTCCCTACCACGGTTGCCGCGCTTTCCTGTGCTAGATTCATTTTCACCATGGCATCTGAAAGGTGTCACCAGTCTTATACAGACATAATTTGCGAACTCGGGGAGGAAGACAATCTCACCCTCCAATTTTTCCACGGCATCCTTCATTCCAAAAGAGACTGTTCAGACTGCGGGAATCCTGTGTTTTACAATCAGAGAGGAACCTGTTCCAGTGTAACGAGAAACTAAATTACTGCCACATTCACCAAGACCACAGCATAATCCTTCACCACTTCCTCAATGCCGTGGTTCACTGCTTTCCCCGTCTCAGTAACAGTAAGTTTGTGTTAAGTTATGCCAGGTTTTATGCTAAGGCTAACTAAGCTAGGCTAAGTTAAGTTAGGTTAGGTTAGGTTAGGTTAGGTTAGGTTAGGTTAGGCTAAGTTAGGTTAGGCTAGGCTAAGTTAGGTTAAGTTAGGCTAGGCTACGTTAGGTAACATTAACGTTAGGTTAAGGTTAGGTTGAGGTTAGGTTGGGTTAAGTTAGGTTGGGATAGGTTAGGTTATATAAAAAACATTTGTACAAACCATGAGTGTTCTCTGTAAAACACAGTGAAATTGCGATATTTTTATAGGCGTTTAATGTGCAAAATGCTTACCATTTAGTTTTGGCAGTGGTGCCAGTACTTACTGTTATTACCAAATGATTTATTTTAGTTACCTGTAGTAGAGATGATATTCATTCGGGTATGTTTACTGGGATACTGATAATTTTCTCTATTCCTTGTTCACTTCGGTGTCTAATACTACTGTTATATTATTACATTCAATACCCACTACAGTAAGAATGCTTTTTTTTTTTGCCGCTTCTCCCTATATAAGTAGAAATATGTAGTTCTTTATTCGACCTTAAACGAACCTTTACCGTCTTTACAGCATTAACTCCTATTAAACCACATTTTTCACCTCTTTCCACTGTTATTTTTTTTTTTACTATCTGTGATAAGAGCGGTACCATCTACATAGTGTTACTTTACCATTAACTTTTAAACCTTCGTTATCACATAACTTTTCATCAAGAATTCTCAATATATATTATACAATGACAGTACACAGGCAGCACAGGTTGTCTCTCAGAGGCAACAGTAAATTTAAAGGGACAGATTGCGAGTAAAATAAAAAAAAAATAAAAAGTATCATTCGGCTACCTTTTTTCTTGTGAAAATCGTGGTTTAACTTGTCATAGACCTTGTTCAACAGCACGTTACCGAATTGCAGGTGAATCAGTGTTTTTGAGTGGCTGAAGCAAGAGCTTAGTGAGGCGTACAATGTTGAATGGGAGTAACAACAGAATTACCAAATCATCTATTTTTCTTCGTAAAACAAAACAAACTTACTCAATCCTAATCATAACTAATCAAATAATCCTAAATAAGCTTTTAATTAGGTGATATTTGGTCTTGACGGTTTATGTCGTTTACCTTCATATCTGCTAGACTTTCGTGACGAAGTGTCAGCTTCAGCATTTTAATGCTAAATTAGCATTTTGGGAGGATTTTCAATGATTAAGAATAAAACCTGTCAGTTCGAAAATCCAGCGTCTCTGTTACGCACTGTTGGCAAGTACTGGGTCCTCAATGTATCTCAACCTGCTCCAGTGCGGTCAAAATTTTCATGAAAAATGGCTGTACAGATCTGATATATGCAGTGGCTGATAAAGAGAAGACAAGAACAGAGCGAAGTGTACTGTTTGTCAAGCAAAATTTCAAAGCAAAAAATCAATGACCGATAAGCATGCTAAGACAGACACCAGCGACTTATTTTTTGGAAATTATACACAAAAACACCCAGAAGTGACTAATATTACGTAAAAAAGCTGAAACACCTAACTTGCTTTTTACTTTACATATCTAGCCCCGGGTTAAAAGTTGATGGACGATATAATCAGAGTTTGAAGAGAGTACATTGTAGTGGATTTCTCCCCTACAAACGCTTGTCGCTGAGTAGCCGACCCCGCGATTTCCCCAGTGTATGCCTCGTGGTCTAGGTCAACCAGCGCCGCCTTACATGACGGAGGTTAACTAGTAAGCCACGCCTACCTCCGCTATAAAAGACCTGACCTCGTGGTGACCACGCTCTTTTCGACCTATACCAACCAGCAAGCTACACCTCCTCCTCCTCCTCCTGCCTGGCGGCCCTCGCTCCCGCCGGCGAGCATGGCGACCCACAAGCTGGCTCCTCCTCTGAGCACCCTCACCAACCAGCTCTCTCTACATCACGCTTGTAACCACGCTGCCACTTCCCAGCACCAAGCTGCACTGTACATCCAATACAACATGTATACAGAGAGCACATTGTGAGTTTCCTTTTTCCATCCCATCCTGAGTGTGAACCCCAAACATCTCGTACCCCACAAATGTATTGTAGTGGACGTCTCCCCTACAAACTGCGTAGCTGCATCCCACCTGCGACGCCTTCCCTAGCAACCAAACGAGCAAATGCTACGGGATCCTAGCAACCGAGCCAAAGACCGGTTACTTCTCGGGTTTTCCCAACATGACTCATAGATGACTCACGGCTGCTGGGTATATAAGCTCTGTCTCTCCATTGAGAAGTAATTGAACCACCTCCTGCCTCAATATACACATTTCTACATAAAACATTACTAGAGGAATAAAGATGAGAGTGACCAACCAGCTCCACTAAGAACCTGGCAGGCCTCTCCATGCAGTGTACCTTTAGACTAACACAACTAACACTTAACTAACACCAAAAAAAAAAGCAACACCTCCTCCGCCGCTGCCTGGCGGCCCTCGCCTCTCCTCCGCCTGCCTGGCGGTCCTCGCTCCCGCCAGCGAGCATGGCGACCCACCAGCTGTCCTTCTCTGAGCTTCCTCACCAACCAGCTCTCATTCTGGTCTCTCTTCTTGAACAAGCAACACCTCCTCCAGCAAGCTCCACGCTGTCAGCATTCATTCAACCAGGAGGCCAGCAACAGGCAACATCTTCTCTAACGAAGCTCCTGCACATCTACCTCCTTCAACACGCTACTCACCGAACGTCTCTACTGAGCAGCTCCTCACCACACGGCACCTCCAGCACCAGACTGTCTATCATATAACTTATATTATACAAGAAAACCACATTAGAGTTTCCATCCATCCTGAGTGCTAGACAACATTATATCACGAACCC